TAGGGAAGCATTTGAAAAGGTCGAAGTACAAGCTGTAGCGCACGAATGAAGTGTGGTTAGACTCATCCCCCTTTCCTGTATAACTCCCAGACATCGTGTGGACTGAGAACACAGCTAGCAGTTTCTGAGGGCATTGATCTTCAGCATTGGAGTCCATTACTGATCATTCAATTAAGATATTTTGTTGCATATACCATAATTACCATTACTAAACTAGGCATTTCTCCTTAACCTAAGACCTATCGTGGTCCTAAATGCTTTAATCTTTAATTAATGGGTTGCCCTGATGTAAGTTTAAAAAGAAAAAAGCTTGAGCAATTCGTTGCTGGTTCTTACTGCTTTGGTGTTTTCTGCTTGCATCTTGTTGCCTAGCAGATAGCAATGGTTTAGCATTGTTTCGAAATAGAGCATTAGAGAAATTGTTTCGTAAAAGTCTTACTGCAAGGAAACGAAAGTGCTGAGGGATGAATGCTGGGTTGAAGGAGGAAGTAGAGGAGCTTGTTCTATGGCAAATCTCCCCCAAAATATAAAAAAAATCATCCCAGCACAGCTATTTGGGTATGCCCTAGTGCTCTGCCTGTGTCCCCTGCAGGGGAGAGCTGGGTGTTTGAGAGGCAGAAACAAAATCACCTCTTGCAATGTGTTTTTGCTTGAAAGTTTCAGTTTTGCTTCTTGCTTCACCTGGTGTGTGTGAGATGTGATGAAGAATAACTTTCATTTGCAAATGAAAAAACTTTCTGTACTTACTGAGAAGAAAAGCGTGCAGGTCTCTTCCCTCTTCGGCACCCTACTTTATCAAGTCTTGTTAGAGAAGTTATGCTGATCCCTGTTTACAGTTCAGATGAGGGGTGTGTGTGGGATATCTTCCGTTTCTCTAATGTCCCGTGGGAGTCTGAAAAAAGAGACTGACTTAGTCCGATTCTTTCAGAAAGTGGAAAGACTGTCACATCACAAAAAATGGTGTGTTGTATGTGATGGAGCTGGGGAGGGGAAATAAACTTGTGTACTTAAAGTGGGATCATTTTTAATTCTAGTAGTACCTGCAGGACTCATTCCCTTGGGAGGCTTCAAAAAGATACAAAAACTACACAAGAACACTTAGCAGGGAGTTTGCTTCTTACCAAAAGCTCTTAAAAATGTACTTGCCTGTTTGTGGAGCGAATGGCTTCTCATCTGTGGGTGGGTGATGTCCAGAGCGGTGTGCTGTGCTTCTGAAGTGATGGGACCTCTTTAAAGCAGCAGGGCTGGGGAAATGTTTTTTCCCCTGCCTTACTTCCTTATGTCTAACAGAATCTGCCAAATGCCCGCTGCTTGCGTAATTCTTCCTCTGTCGTTGACCCGAGCTGTTGTTGTGATTTGTTACAGTGGCTGTGGATAACTTGTCCTACAGGTGTATGATTCCTCTAAAATTTAATTTCTAGCAGGGTTCTGGTTTTCATTTATACTTCTGATCTGTTAGGATGAGGAACAGTGTGTTCTGGGTTAGGATTTCACTAAACCTGTGAGAGAGCTAACTAGGTGTGGTGTAGACAAGGGGGCAATATTCTGTTTCTGGAGGCATTTTTATTGTGGGCAGCGAGCTCTGCTTTACTGCACTCTATCACTTGGTGGGCTTGGAATTGCCATGTAGTGTTCATTTGCTGTACTTGTTTAAAAGCAAAACCTGTCCGTGTGAAAATTCAAGGACTCAAACCCAAGTTTTTACATGAATACTTACTTTATTAGTTTCTCTTAGAATACTGTACAAAGGAGTAATAAAAATATTCACACTTTATTTTAGAAAGTTCTCTACATGAGACTTCTGTATACACAGCAAAAAGAAGGGCTACTGGAAAAAAACCCTAAAACTTTGTACAATGTCAGAATGTTCCATTAAAAAAAACAAACCAACTAATTTAGCTCACTTAAACTGATCCAAGGAGGATACGTATACACAAACACTTGCATGCTTAAAAGATATTATAGGCAATGATAAAGCAACTTAAGTCACAATGAGAAATATTAATGTGTTAACAATGGTAACCAGCTGCTGTCCTCTTTCCAAGGGCCAGTACCATGCTTCTATTAAAACAAACAAAATTAAACAGTGATTAAAAAAAAAAAAGTCCTTGGGAATTAAATAGCCCCAGATATCTCTCTTTGGGTTTTTTTTGTTGTTTTTGTAAAGGCTTTTTCCTGCAAAGGGTTGGACTGTGTGACATCCTGTTAGCTATGTTAAACGAATTGCCAGACAGGACCCCTAACTGAGAAACATCAGGCTGTTAGTACTTGATTGTTGTCTGACTGTCAGGTGCAGTGACTGCCATTCTGTGTGAATACACGTGTGGTCTTGACAGTGGCTTAGAAGAGGCTTTGCCCGGTACAAGATGGGGCAGAGGAATGGCTTGGCTTCTGCCAGTGCCTGTGAACGGTTCAAGTGGTGGTTTTCAAAAGCTTTTCTCCTTCCAGGCTCATGGCAGAAGAAAAAAGAAAAACATTTTAAGTACCTACTTATCCAGTAATTGTTTCTCGGTCACAGGACCAGCCATTCCCCCTAGTCACTACAGGAAGCCAGTACAAGTTGGAGAGGAAAAATCTGGCAAGTGTGATGTGATCAAAATACCATTTAAAAATCAATAACAATCAATTATCTCCTTCATGCAGGTACTTGGAGAAGATTCTACAGTCTAAAAGAATGAATGGACAGTCTTTGCACTCACGTCCTGGTTCTCCACACAAAAGGTAGGCTTTGCTCTTGGATCACTGCTAAGCTAGCTGCAAGTACACATCTGAAAATCCCTCATCCTGCCCAGTCTCCCTTTTCTCAGAAATCAGTTATCCCATGAGAGTGTTAGTGTTTTGGCTATGCTCCTTAACTTGTTTGCGTGCAACATTAGCCTTCCAGTTCTGAACTCACTTCTTTGTGAATTTAACAAATGGAAATAAACTAGAAGTGGGTTCAGTACAGAGTTCCAGGAGACCCAGAACTGTCGGTTACTTCCACACCACTGTGGTGGTGTGGTTCCAACTGGAAACTTAGTTGGGTACTGCTCGCCTCTGTGAGAACGACAGGATGGAGCCATGCAACTGGTGTACGAGGGTGGCTCAACAGGCAGTACCCGCAGCTTTCACTTAAAACTACCTCAGGTACACCTAACAATTAGCAACTGCAACTGTGGTTTAATTAACTTATGGTTTCTTTTCTATTTTTTATTTATTCTGATACCTACCCTTAAGATGGATCTTAAGGAAGATGCTATCAGATCTATAATTATTCAAGTAATTATTAATTTTATGTGATATTTCACACACCACGCTATTAGCATGAAATCTTTCTTCAGCTCTCTTGCTACTTTCCATATTTCTCCAGTTTTCATTTATATTTCCCTTGATTGGATTAACTGTATAAGTCCAAGTTAACTTCAGTTATTCTGTGGTAAAAATGCTATCCCTGTGTGGTAAAGAATGTCACTTGTCATGTAACACATCTCTCTAATGGCTATTTTTTAATCATTTGTTTGAACAAGGTAAATCAGAAAAGCTTACTATTATAATTAAGGCTTTGCCTAACAAGCAGTTTTAGACTTTAGGCTTTAAAAACTACCTTTTTGAGAAGTTTATAATCCCATTCTGTTTTACAGTTGATCTTTAATTTAACAAAACAGAATCAGATGTCCATAGGTGTTGGTTAACAGCACAAACATCTTCAAACCCTCAGCTGCTGTAGTGCCAAGGCCTTCAAGGAAATTGTGTGAAGTGCTGTACTTCATGGAGAAGAGCTCCAAGATAAATAAATACTTTTCCTTCCTCTGGAGATTTACCGTTGCCATGTAAGTTGTGTCTGCAGGCAGATGTTCAGATCTGTTAAGCAACATACAGTCTGCATTACGGACACAGCCTTAGCCATCCTGCTAAGGACAGACTCCACAGCTCTGAGGGCAGCAGCCTTTCCGTAAGGATTCTAGGCGTTGACACTGATTTCTTAGTCATTTCAAAGGTACTTAGCTGATTGATGAAATATCTCTATTTTGAAAACAATATTTTTTTCAAAAGTCATTGTCTAGTAGCTTAAAGAGTATATTAGCTTTAGGGTATATAGTACCTTAACTAAAGCAGCAGTCCTTAAGTCATGGGAGTTAAAAGGTTTAACCCCCGCCATCAAGTAAATTGCGTATCTGTCAAACTCCCTCGCTGGAGAACAGCCAGACTCTATTCTCTTTCCACCTTCTTGAAAACTTCCTTTTCACTTAAAATATTTCCACCTTTCAAACATATTAGGTAATGATTCTCTATGCATTCCAGCAGCCCTCTGAGGTACACTAAATATTTTTCCCATCTCTGCAGCAGTCTGATAGAAAATTTCAGATAGAGAAGTAAAGCAGCTTGCCTAAATTATGCATGGAGTAGTACTAGATCTTATATGCAAACCTGAAGCTCCCCTATCCATGTCCTATGCTCAGACCATCAAACAGAACTCAACAATATCCACTATGACCTCTAAAGCTAGAATTGGCTAATGCAGGAACAAAATTAGCATATTTAAAATGTTTATACCATTGTCAAAAGTGTGAGACGATATAAGTGCTAAAACAACAAAAATACAGGCTTTCATGAGTTTACAGGGGAAGCATAAGGAAAAACGCATTGCATCCGGCACGCAACCCAAAAGAAAAACCGATTGCTTTGAACAACAGAAAGCTATCTCAGCCAGGAAATCTAAACCTGCAAACCTACTTTATTTAGGCGCTAATTTTATGGGAGAAAGGCTCAATTTTGTTCCTATACTAAATAATCTATCAT